ACCCTTCACCACACTGTTGTACAGGGTATTGTTTTGTGCATATGTAGAGATGGGCAGTGGGTAAATACCCAAAGGGTAAATACCCGGTAAATTGGGTAAATACCCGGTAAATTGGGTAAATACCCATTTGTGGGTATTTATTTGGGTATTTACTATATTGAATCGGTAATACAACATCTTACACCCTATTTCCGGGTTTATGTTATCAAATCGATTAAGAATGGATAGTTTTACGATACTTTAAAGACGTTGGTAAAAACTTGGGTAAATACCCGAGTTTTTACCCAACAATTGGGTATAAACTCATTAACTGCAGAACCACTTGACATAGGCGGCCAAAATTTTGCACACATGTTTCTAATGTCAAAGCAAATATAAAAATCCAACATGGGGTCCCTGGGTCCAAGTTTTGATATAGCCCCATATAACCATATCTCCCGATTTAAGGTATTTTTTGTCTATTAGACACATTTTACAACCAAATTGGCCGTAATTTGGCACAGAGTGTTCTCTTTGGGTACCAAATGTCCATGCAAAAATTTATGTATGTAGGTCCATATTTACTGGTAGCCCCCATACAAAGGTACCCCTATTTTGAGTATTTACCCAAAAAATGGGTATAAACTCATTAACTGCAGAACCACTTGACATAGGCGGCCAAAAATTGGCTCAGATAGTTTTTATATCAATACAAATATTGAAATCCAAAATGGGGTCCATGGGTCCAAGTTTTGATATAGCCCCCATACAACCGTATCTCCCGATTTAAGGTATTTTTTGCCTATTAGACACATTTTAGGGCCAAATTGGCTGTAATTTGGCACAGAGTGTTCTCTTTGGGTACCAAATGTCCATGCAAAAATTTATGTATGTAGGTCCATATTTACTGGTAGCCCCCATACAAAGGTACCCCTATTTTGAGTATTTACCCAAAAAATGGGTATAAACTCATTAACTGCAGAACCACTTGACATAGGCGGCCAATAATTGGCTCAGATGGTTTTTTTATCAATACAAATATTGAAATCCAAAATGGGGTCCCTGGGTCCAAGTTTTGATATAGCCCCCATATAACCGTATCTCCCGATTTAAGGTATTTTTTGCCTATTTGACACATTTTAGGGCCAAATTGGCTGTAATTTGGCACAGAGTGTTCTCTTCGGGTACCAAATGTCCATGCAAAAATTTATGTATGTAGGTCCATATTTACTGGTAGCCCCCATACAAAGGTACCCCTATTTTGAGTATTTACCCACAAAATGGGTATAAACTCATTAACTGCCGAACCACTTGACACAGGCGGCCAAAATTTTGCACACATGTTTCTAATGTCAAAGCAAATATAAAAATCCAACATGGGGTCCCTGGGTCCAAGTTTTGATATAGCCCCCATATAACCATATCTCCCGATTTAAGGTATTTTTTGTCTATTAGACACATTTTACAACCAAGTTGGCCGTAATTTGGCACAGAGTGTTCTCTTTGGGTACCAAATGTCCATGCAAAAATTTATGTATGTAGGTCCACGTTTACTGGTAGCCCCCATACAAAGGTACCCCTATTTTGAGTATTTACCCAAAAATAGGGTATAAACTCATTAACTGCCGAACCACTTGACACAGGCGGCCAAAATTTTGCACACATGTTTCTAATGTCAAAGCAAATATAAAAATCCAACATGGGGTCCCTGGGTCCAAGTTTTGATATAGCCCCCATATAACCATATCTCCCGATTTAAGGTATTTTTTGTCTATTAGACACATTTTACAACCAAGTTGGCCGTAATTTGGCACAGAGTGTTCTCTTTGGGTACCAAATGTCCATGCAAAAATTTATGTATGTAGGTCCACGTTTACTGGTAGCCCCCATACAAAGGTACCCCTATTTTGAGTATTTACCCAAAAATAGGGTATAAACTCATTAACTGCCGAACCACTTGACATAGGCGGCCAAAATTTTGTACACATGTTTCTAATGTCAAAGCAAATATAAAAATAAAATAGGGGTACCTTTGTATGGGGGCTACCAGTAAACGTGGACCTTCATACATAAAATTTTGCATGGACATTTGGTACCCAACAAGAACACTCTGTGCCAAATTACAGCCAATTTGGTTGTATAATGTGTCTAATAGGCAAAAAATACCTTAAATCGGGAGATACGGTTATATGGGGGCTATATCAAAACTTGGACCCAGGGACCCCATGTTGGATTTCTATATTTGCTTTGTCATTAGAAACATGTGTGCAAAAATTTGGCCGCTTATGTCAAGTGGTTCGGCAGTTAATGAGTTTATACCCAATTTTTGGGTAAATACTCAAAATAGGGGTACCTTTGTATGGGGGCTACCAGTAAATATGGACCTACATAAATAAATTTTTGCATGGACATTTGGTACCCAAAGAGAACACTCTGTGCCAAATTACAGCCAATTTGGCCTTAAAATGTGTCTAATAGGCAAAAAATACCTTAAATCGGGAGATACGGTTATATGGGGGCTATATCAAAACTTGGACCCAGGGACCCCATGTTGGATTTTTATATTTGCTTTGACATTAGAAACATGTGTGCAAAATTTTGGCCGCCTATGTCAAGTGGTTCTGCAGTTAATGAGTTTATACCCAATTTTGGGTAAAAACTCGGGTATTTACCCAAGTTTTTACCCTCGTCTTTAAAGTATCGTAAAACTATCCATTCTAAATCGATTTGATACAGAAACCCGGAAATAGGGTGTAAGATGTTGTATTACCGATTCAATGTAGTAAATACCCAAATAAATACCCGCAAATGGGTATTTACCCGGTATTTACCCACCCCTTGGGTATTTACCGGGTAAATACCCGGTAAATTCCATCTCTATGCATATGCAAAAGGAATAAGAATATGCACATGCATCACTTTCTCAGTCGATTTATGCATTTCCGTCCGTCTGTCCATGTTAAATAGTCAACAATGTACATGTCGCATTTATTATCCGAATTGGATGAAATTTGGCTCAAAGACGAACCATAGCTCCAATATATAGTTTCGTAAAATTTTTAGTAAATGGTGCACCAAAGTCCCAAAGTTAGGCTGATTGCCGCAAAATGTTGTACAACGTACTAAAGTTACTATAAAATAACGCGTGTCAAGTTTTGTTGAAATCGGTTTAGATTTAGATATAGCTCCCGCATATTTATCGTCCGATTTAATGTAAGTTGTGTACCAATGTCCCTATATATCCTTCAATTTGTACGAAATCTGGCATAGTGTACTTAATAAAATCTGGAATGATGTGTGTTAAGATTCGTGAAAATCGGTTCTAATTTAAATATATCTCCTATATATTTTTTCTTCCGATTTTATGTTAATTGAGCACCAAAGCCCTTACATTTCCTTTAATTTGCACGATATTAGACATAGCGTACTGAATTGAATCTAAAATAAAATGTGTTAAGTTTCGTGAAAATTGGTTCACATTTATATGTAGCTCTCATATATATTATTGTCCGATTTTAAGTTAATAGAGCACCAAACTCCTACCGTTTGTCCGATTGATACGAAATTTTGCACAACGAATATAAAATTATCCCATTGTACGCAAACGGCTCTAAATCTGTCCGAATGATAGGCAATTTAGCATAGGTTGCTGAAAGGCATGTGTATGAATTGATGTTAGTCGGTTCACTTGTAGATAAGGATCAAATATCAATTTTATGTCAGTGTTCCTTCGAAAGGGCGACGCCTATTAGGATTGGTAAGTATAAGTCCCATCTTCCAATATTATACAGACTCGCTTAACGATATAATAGAATTAATTTTCAGCAAATTACCAAAAGGAGTGAGCCGATATTCCCCACCTTAGTTTGGAAGAAATATTACAACGTGCAAAATTGGGATGAGATCGGTTACCTTTAATAGCTATCCAGCCAATAATAAATCGAATCCAACTTGTCTGAAGCGGATTTGATCTAAAGAAACATGACCAAATTACCAAAATGAGTGAGCCGATATTCCCCACCTTAGTTTGGAAGAAATATAAATCAACGTGCAAAATTGGGATGAGATCGGTTACCTTTAATAGCTATCCAGCCAATAATAAATCGAATCCAACTTGTCTGAAGCGGATTTGATCTAAAGAAACATGAGGTTTAAAACCAAACCATCTGAACCAATTTTTGGCCGCCTATGTCAAGTGGTTCTGCAGAGCACCAAACTCCTAATGTTTGTCCGATTGATACGAAATTTTGCACAACGAATATAAAATTATCCCATTGTACGCAAACGACTCTAAATCTGTCCGAATGATAGGAATTTTAGCATAGGTTGCTGAAAGGCATGTGTATGAATTGATGTTAGTCGGTTCACTTGTAGATAAGGATCAAATATCAATTTTATGTCAGTGTTCCTTCGAAAGGGCGACGCCTATTAGGATTGGTAAGTATAAGTCCCATCTTCCAATATTATACAGACTCGCTTAACGATATAATAGAATTAATTTTCAGCAAATTACCAAAATGAGTGAGCCGATATTCCCCACCTTAGTTTGGAAGAAATATTACAACGTGCAAAATTGGGATGAGATCGGTTACCTTTAATAGCTATCCAGCCAATAATAAATCGAATCCAACTTGTCTGAAGCGGATTTGATCTAAAGAAACATGAGGTTTAAAACCAATGTTTCGATGAGGCACCTTTTTGCCGTAGCTACCCTTACCCTCACTAGCCATAAATCTCATATAATTCCAATGGGGATCTTCTACCTTTTTTAAATATTTTAAAATGACACAACACTCGCATTTTAACTGTACTATGTTTTACATTTCATTAAAAATTTCTACGATCCTCATGTGTTTCGTTAAAATATTCAGCACGTACCAAAATTACTCGTTGTGATAACAGTTCTTCTACGTATTCATGAAACTTTTTAAATAAATCTGTTCCTACGTGGAACAATTACCCACGAACTTTATAATTTGAAACATAGATACTTGGATTGTACAAAACTGAGATTAACTTACCTTACGTTTCGACCTTGCCATGCGTTGATCTCGTGAATTTTCCGCTTCACCCGGTGGTCGTTTGCCCCATACGGCCAATGCAATGCGGGTGTAGGTGAATATTAGCACCGACAATGGAACAATAAATTGCAGTGTCAGCAATGCCAGTGTGTAATAATAGTTCTGTTCGGCTGTGGGCCATTCCTCCTTACAAATGTATCTGAGGATAAGAAGTAGAAGAAGGAAGACAAAGATGAAGCAGGAACACAATAAGAACAAACAAAAGTCACAAAGGAAATCATGCACAAACAATGAAATTGTAAATTATACATGAATTATGACAGCTGAAATGGTAACTGTGGCTGTGTGTGGTTGTGCGAACTGCAAATGTGGGCTGACTTACTGGCTGTTCCAGAAGCACTTGTTTGACAAGGGTAGTGGACATTTGAATGGTGCCTTAACAAATATTAAATATTTGCTAAAGCCTCTGGTTTACAGCAAATACTAGTGTAATTTTGTATTCACTTTAGATGTTGTAACAAATGTTGGTATATTAAAAGAAAGAGTGCGTAAAAAGGGTTTGTATCCCTAAGAATGTTTTCTTCATTTTCTTAAATTGGAATTAAAATTAAAGTTGACGCATAAATTAGCTAAGACCATTTTTAATGAAATTGTGTTGAAGATGACTTTTCACCAAGAAATGATGTGAAAAAGGTCGTCCCTTTTTTAACACAAAAGATAACATATATTTAAAGTTATGCCAGGAAAATACCAGTAGGGCTAAATAATAAACAAACACCCATTAATTAACTGGCATATGGAAATGTGTTCTGGTCAATTTTAAGGTTTTATTAAAGTTTGGTTTTTCTTGATTAAAAATACAAAATTAATTCTATATACAAATATCAAGTGTATGGTGGGGTACGTTTAGTTGTTTGTAGAGCTCGAAAGTGAATTCCTTCCATGAAAGTACATGGTTTGTGTTTGGAAATATGATTGGTAAAATTTTGGATACCACATTTTTTACTATATTCTTTGTAATGTTTAAATATTAAAAATCGACATTACTTACCTTCCACACAACTCATACCAATCACCTGGTTGGACTAATTTTGATACAATTGGTATTGGCAACGCTGTTGCCAGGGCAATAAACCATATGCCAACTATTATGAATTTGGCATACCTGTAAAGAAGAAAGACCTGTGTTATTAACATAACTCAGTACGATAATTATTTTATGTATAAAGAAGTAATTGGTCCATGAATAATCTTAACATATATATCTAATACTAGCGAAGTGCCCGCTGACATTTTATATGAAAGTCTTGGATACTGTATAATTTGTTGTACTATAATTCCGAATTCCACCTCTATTCCTAAATCTAATATCAAGTTTTTTACCACTTAGTACACATTGTTACGAAATGAAAACAGCCTCTATATTTCAAACCTGCACTTCAACAGTAATTTTATTTCGACGTTTCTGGATCCCAGCCCCATCCAAATTAATCCAATCAATCCACTTTCGGGATTCCAGCCCCACCCGTGCTATAGTTCCATGTCTCAATTCTATACTTCAACATCAACCATTATTCTAAATTTTAGGTTTCCAGTTCTCTCGGTTCAACCAAATCCAAATTATACTAAATCTAGTGCCGTTTTGTAATTTCCGTACACATAAATACGAATTTCCAAATTTGTCTCTATAGCTCAATCTTCAACAGCATTCGTTATACCAAATTTCCCAAAATCCACTTTTCGTACCCATAAGTACGAAGTGTCTAAACTACCTCAATCCTACACTCCAACAAATATTTTAATTCCAAATTTAAAGACTCCAGCCTTATATGTTCACCTAAATTCAACTTGTACCAAATTCACTACAATTTAGTATATTCATACATAGTAATCGTAATTCCTATTTTCAGGATTCCATCTCTATACGCTCAATAAATGCAAATAGTACCAAATTTAGTACACATAAGTACGAATTTCCGATACTCAATTAAATTTTCGAACTGAATAGACGTATTTTTTTGTGTCTGAAAAAAGGAAAAATAAATTTGGAAAATTAAAAAAAAACATATACATACAGTGAGTGTAATAAGTATTTTGCCTCAACAAAAATTTGAAAAAATTCCAATATATACGCCTAAAGCTATTTTCAGCATATAAACAATATTAATGGACCATAAAGTTTTCAAAGTCAGAAAAAGAATTATTTTATTATTATTAAGACCATATAGGTCTAAACGTATTTGGGATGTTTTGAAGGACTATATTTAATACTCTCATTTTGATTAGGACGAGAAAATACCAAATATTAAATGAAATATTGATGGAGAATGTATTGAATGTAAATGTGAGAAAATACCCGAAAAAATGCCGTTGTTTAAAAAATGCCGTGATGTAAGCGTGTGAATTTTTTCAAAAATAATAATAAAAAGCAAAATACTTTTTTGGATAATATTTTTTTGTGATTCTTGCAGAAATAAAAAAAGGAAAAATAAATTTGGAAAATTAAAAAAAAACATATACATATGTACATATATACAATTATAAAAACCTGAAAAGAGAAATATCTTATTATGGACGATTGGTTGTCTGTGGAGGAAAGAATTTCATCCGTAAAAGTCCCCCCGGATAAAGGTGCGGATAGCAGAAAATCGAGGAGAATCAATACGAAATTACCGTCCAAATTTTGCTCGGAGGAATCATTGAGCTCTTCCGAAGTTTCCCAAACCAATGCGAAGTCAAAAGATTTGAACGCAAAATCAAGGTACAAATCTAAAGCAAATGAAGAAAGGACATTTTGTAGCGATGCAAGCCAAAATGAATTTCTCCCCGTAAGTTCACAAGATAAGGTTAGTAGAATAGATTCTGTTGCCGATCTTACAATCGAAAGTGGTCAATCTCAAACTAAACGTCCCCGAATTTGTGAGTTATCTGACATAGCCCTAAAAGTTGCATAGAATTCCCAAAATCGATTCGCATTATTGAATGATATTGACATACTTCTCGAACCATCTATCCCAAGAGCACAGCCGTCTCAAAGCCAATGTGAAATCAATGTCAAAGAGCAAAATGCGTCTATTAGTAGAAATGAAAAGTCACCCAATTCTATAAACAATCTTAAGGGGTTTTGCCCGCCAATTTTTCTTTTCGATGTAAACATAACAGATTTGATACGAACACTTAAATCCCAGAACATAGTTTTTAAAATTGTAAACAAGAGCCAAAGAAAAAAGTGCAGTTCATTCAGAAATGATTGATCTCCTTAAAACCAAGGAAATACCAGCATACACATATACACCTAAAGAACATAAACGTTCTCGACTAGTTTTAAGGGCACTTCATTACAAAACAACCTTAGACGAGATAAAGAACGATATTAATGAGCTAGTGCCCAATACGGTGGAGGATGTTAGGAAATTTTCGACTGAATTTTCTAAAAAAAAAAATATTGATACTGGGCTTTACTTAATTAATCTATTGCCAGGAAAATCTGTAACTGAATTAAGGGCTCAAAAATATATTTGCTCCCAAAAGGTAACATGGGAAATACCCAACTCAAATTTAAAGGTTGTACAATGTTGGCGGTGTCAACATTGGGGCCATATCTCAAAAAATTGTACCAGACTATATGTCTGTATGAAATGTGATCAAAAGCATGCACCAGGTGACTCCAAATTAGTATCTTATGAAGAAAATAAGCCTTATTGTGCGAATTGCAACCAATTTGGTCATAGGGGCTGTAGCGCTTACAAAGATTATATAAAGAATCAGGAACAAACTAAGAGTATAGCTAAGTAAAAAAAGGCATTAGCTTCCTGTAATGTGTCAAAAGTGTTAAACGGTTTCAACACATGCAACCCAAGCGGAACATACGCTGGTTGTTTTACAGACTCTCAGCATAGAAGATCGAAACCTATTATAATAGAGGCATTTTTGAAAATTGCTAAGGATATTTGTCAGGCCGAAACTATAACCCTGGAGGAAATTTTGTTAGGCAATATAGAACACTGTCAAAGGAACAAGCAAGGATTCAATGCTTAGAACTTTTAGAGGAAATAAAACAAAAATATGGTCCGTAACTTTTTAAATTTTCTGTCATTTAATGTTAGATCGATTATTGAAGCGAGTCGTAGAATTGAATTATCAAATATTTTAAATTCAAACAACCTTGACTTCGCATTTATACAAGAAACTCAGTTAAGAGATGCCCATAGAGTTGCTTTAGAAAATTACGCGTTCGTAAGAGATAATAGTTCCCAAGGCGTAGCAATAGCTTTAAGAAAATCATTAAAATTTCAAAAAGTGTTTGTAAGGGATTTTACATATCCTAGCTTGTTTTTAAGTATTGGTATCATTTTACGATCTACATCCCATGCAATGCTGATCTCACTCAATATAGTGCCAGTTTGGAAGCATTGAATATTATTTCCCGAAATTACTACGGAGTAATAATAGGGGGTGATTTTAACTCCAGATACTCGGATTGGGGTGACACATTAAATAATTTGAATGGGAACACCTTTTATGAATGGATTCGGGAATCGTCGGTGGATTTTTTAAGAATCTCAGACTCCGTTTCATCTTTCCCGAATGGTGCATCATTTCTAGACCATTTTATAGTAAGCACCAACTTAGTCGATCCGATATCTCAAAATTTCCAAATGAGCTCATTACCAACATTTTCTGACCATTTCCCTTAAGATAACACTTAAAATTGTCATCGTTTTCAATTATTTTAAGTCCTCTTAAAACGTATACTTCCTATAAAAACACAAATTGGGATACATTCCGAGTTCATATTCAAGATTGTTTGCTGAATAACTTTCCGGATTCAAAACGGAACTTTTCTAACATTGAGATAGATTATTATATTGACAATATTTCAGATGTGATAACTAATGTTCATTCCAAGCACTCGGAAATTAAAAAAAAAATGGGTAAAATATACATCGTTTCAGATCAAATAAAAAACCTCTTTAAATTAAAGTATTCATGGCAAAAGGATTTGAAAAAAATCTATAATAGGACTCAAGATAGATCGGATCCAAATTACCGTTTATTATCAAAACACGTACAACTTTTAGGTACTATAATTAAAAGACAAGTTGAAATAGAACAGTCTAAAATATTTTCTGAAAGGCTTAAGCAAATAAAACCGGGGCCAAAAGCCCATAAGCAGGTGTATAATATCATTGGTCATAAACGAAAAGCAAACCTAAATAAATTAAACGAAAATGGAGCTTTGATTGACGATAATCTAGTTGCATGCGATAAACTTAAACAATATTTCGCTACTATTTATAGTCATTCATATTTAAGTGAAGACATACATGATATGGAAGATATAGTTCATAACACAATAGCCAGTAGAACTCATATGCTTAATTTTAATGCCATGGAATCTTCTCTTAATTTTATGAGAAACCCAAGGCTAACAAATATGGACGAAATTATTAACCTTAGCAAAGATATTAATAATAAAAAGTCTTGTGGATTGGACAACATATCAAACTTTATAATAAAAAA